CAACTTGTTTTTTAAAATTGTATGCCTTTGGTTCACAAACCGTCTTCTCTCTGGATTTTTTTACACAATTTATTTCTATGGAACACTTTATACAATGATTATGTGATCTAAGAGTGAGAGTAGCAAAGTAAAAGGAACTGATGACACAGTATCATCATCATCATCAGCCTATTAATGTTCCCACTGCTGGGGCACAGGCTTCCCTATGGATGGAATAGGGAGATTGGGCCATGACCCACCACGCGGGCCCAGTGCGGGTTGGTGGGTGCTAACGACTGCAGATGCAGCCGGGACCAACGGCTTAACGTGCCTTCCGAAGCACGGAAGAGCTCGAGATAGTAAATTATGGTCAACCATCCAATGACCGACCACTGCGAAAGTTGCTTAAATTCAACGATCGCTGCGGAACGCGCTAACCACTTGCGCCATCGAGCTCCTCATGATCATCGATGACACAGTAGTCGTGTATTATGTTTACGCTCAATTACACTTGGTCGTTAGCTCATATTCGAATGCACGAAAGACATTACTCGGATTCGGGCACCCGAAGCAATATTTACATAGGACTACGAGCTAGAAGACGGTGTCAGGTAACCAAAACGAAAACTACCCGAATACGGGCGTACTCGAATCTGTTCATTTACACTTAGTCGTTTACCCGAATTCCATTGGCAATCGTATTCGGTCTAACGACCAGGTGCAATAGAGCCATTATATTACACGAACCATTTGGAGCCATAAAGACTGCACCAAAATTCTGAATTCAAATTATGCCTTAATCCTGTTTAACACATCATTCCATTTTTGTCAATTGTTCAATGCCAAAAAGAGATAGATGAGGCTCAAACATGATTAACTTTTTGAGTTAGCGTATTTGATTTAAGAACTCTGGTACGAGTGGGTCTTTTAATTCTAACCTATATCTGTATAACCGAAAAAGTTTCATTGAAGTGTTCTGAAAACTGGCTTGAGAGGGTTCTCACAATTTTCCATTCCATGTCCAAGACGCTGGACATCAGATACGGTTGTGGGTTGCTATGTCTCGATATCCTACGTTCGTGCCTAATCAGAACTTTCGATCACAGAGCCATCACACCCCGGGATAGATGCATATCAACTTTTCCTTCGCGTGTGGTCTCATTGTTTCCAAAAGGAATCACGTGTGCATACTTATTTATAGACCTTCGGTTTTGATAGCTTTGATATGCTTCATATTATAAGTGTTTGACAGGTGACGATTTGTTGTGAATATCAAATTTGCCGTGTGCCTTGATCACGACTTATTTCGTGCCGTTTTTGTGTCGGTGTATTTTAATTTCAGTACTCGTCACGCCTCTCTGATTGTATGACTTAAAATATTTTAGTACCCATTTGTTTATTTGAGTTTTGCTTTGTTGTGTTTTTTTATATTTTCTGATGCTTGGTTAAAATAAACAGATTACTGCTTATGTTGCCACCCACTTCATTTTTATAATAAATAAATTTTAAGAGACTTTATAATTCCTTTTTTATTTTGAAATGTGTGAAATAATTTACTGGAGCAAATACGCACTCTGTATTGATTTTTATTTCTGATTTTAAACTTTGTCTATTACAACAGTAATAATTTTCTCCACCTGGTATTTCATAATAACATATCAGAATTCATAATTTTTTTGATTAAACAAATAACAAAGGGATAGTTAATAACTTAGGGCCCGTTGTTTCATCTATAGTAAGATTTGACTTTTTGTCAATTTGACCATTTGCTATCTAACAATATTTAACCCCATATAAAAACCCGGAAATAAGTAATGAAAATAAACATGAAAATTTCAATAAACTTTATATTGAATTTTTCATGTTTTCATGCTAATTACACAAGTAACGAAATCTATTTAAAAATATGGCAAAGAACACACTATACCGTACTTAGGTGCTAATCGCCAAAAATATAGCTACAATGCCTATAAAATTAAAATGCTATCGACAACTGTTTCGTATCATTTGTTTACTTTTCCAAGTGGTGTTATGAATTAGTATAGCTCGAGATGTTAATTAACAATGACTTCTTTCTTATTATGATAATGACGTTCAGGTACCGATTAATGATAAAGGTAATCGACTCAGAAAGGCATTCGATAAGAACACGATAACAATGGTATTTTTTACTGCACTGAAAATTTGATAGAGCTTAACGATTCTAAATATGGCATGGCTATATTCAATGCTAGGATGATAACAAATTATGGATTTCCACATTCTTTAATTTATGATACGATAGTAAATCTACTTGTGAGAGATATGCTTTTGAAATGCGTAAATGGTAAGTCTAAGTTTTAGATGTTTCATTGCAGTTTTTTTATTGGTATGAATGTCTTCTGCTGATAACATTTACTTGTTGTAGTAAAACATTAATTGTAAAAATATATCTGATACAATACCCGGAATCATCTGGAAATATATTATTTGAAAAAAAATGAGGATTTGAGTGATCGAAGTAGAAATTGGTGTCATTTGTTTTACCATATCCAAAAATGTTAAGAGATATTCTTTGAGTAAAACGCTTTTTTTGATTGTTTTTGAAATATAGTTAGGTATTGAGGCTTTAGCATGTTCAAAGATTTTAAACAAATTCGTTGGCAGTCTTTTAGGTTTTCAGCTATGATTGCTGTAATGATTCGTAGCATATCATCTGCACAGCGCGTGACAGTACAAGTGCGTAAGCGACGATCTTTCAATTATCATTCTCAATTCTGGAGCAGGCAAGGCCGGAACAGTTTCACGTTGATTTAGGGTTGCCTGGACTATTGTGTAAGATTTTCAAAAGTATTCTCTGAATATGCATCGATTAATTATTACGTGTTTGTAATATGTCCTCCCTTTCCGGCGCATAATTTGGGACCAGAAATGCAGACGGGACCTAATTATTCACTTTATCAGGTTACAAAAAAGTATATAAATTTATATTGATATCTGTATGTACATATTTAAGTGATCATCAAAAGAATAGTAATTGCAAAATATAATAGGAAATATTTAAACGATCCTCAAAAAAAAAAATACCAAAAAATATAATAAAATTGGTACCCTTTAGGTTCTTAGGTTCAATTCTGTATTACTTGGTATTATTAAAAACTCTAGTTTAACGGAGTATTTTTTTCAAATACCTCAATAGTGAAACTCGGTAATATCATACATTTGACATTGCAAATTCGGGGTATTTGCGGGGTATACCACAGTTTGTAAATTTTGACCACAGCCAAAACAAAGCTTATGCCAGTGTGATGAAAATGCTCAAACCAGCTTTAGATCCAGTGTCGATTTCGTGAGAGCACAGAAAATTGGACGGCTAACAACCCTAATTTGATTGCTCACTTATATCAGATTAGGAAAACAATACCGAATTCCAAGCTAATTTGACTTCTGTTATGTTTGGTCTCCGTTTCGTATTCATTATCTGTTGAGGCCATCAGCTAATGCCGTTTCAGAAAATGCAATGCTAAATAATTAATTCATTTGTTTCAACTTGATCAATTTAATCAACTGGTAAGCAAGTATTTAGAAGTTTCAATTTGTGAAAAATTTATTACTTTATTTATTTAGTATATATTTTTATCGAAGGCAAGGTTTTCCTATTAGATAGAATACAGTTTATTGTTTATGCTAGATATAATTTATTTTGTTGATTCTTATGTAGATATTGTTAATAGAATTAGGAAAATTTAAGTAGAGGAATAAAAAGTTAGGTGAAGTAAGATTTTCTAAATGGACTGGAACAGAGAAAAAATAAAATGACGGATTATGATATCGGCCATACTCACAGACGTCAATTAACTTTCAAGTTTGATTGAAGTTGATGGCGGCACTTTTTTTTGCTATAACCATAGCGCTAACATAGAGTGACTTAATGAAGCATTCTGAGTACGGATGTACCTAATTCAATTAAGGCAATAAAAGAGCAGTGACACGTGGAAAGCAAGTAACATTGTGACATCCGATTTTACTCATAAAGTGGAGAGTGATTCAGACACAATTCACACAGCTAGCGTGTGTATAGAACCGTTAAAGAAATAAATAATCAATAAATATTTCCAACACTCACACCAATTAGCCTAGCTCCAAAGTAAGCACTGTAAGGCTTGTGTTATGGGATACTAGGGTAACGGATAGAATACATATATAAGTATATTTATATAGAAATACATATTAAACATCCATGACTGAAGTTCAAATGCCCGTATTCATCACACAAACATCTGCCCCCACCGGGAATCGAACCCGGGACCTCTCGACTAGGCGACACCTTGAAACCCGGCGTACAAACCACTCGGCCAAGGAGGTCGTCAAAAGAAAGCTTTGATGATCGACTATTTGATCGATTTCTATAAAGTATCTAAATAGCGTATCAGCTGTCCTTTGGGAATTTTCTTACCCTTAGCACCTGGCACCTGGAAACTTAAAAGCTTTGCAGGTGCCTCAATAACCAGGACATCGTTTTTAAACTATCAAATTACTCATCTGAGTTTCAGGCTGATTTAGATTTGAGCACAGGTTCTCAATCAAATATATGTATTTTCTAACAACCCATGAATTTTAAGCATAATCACGAGACGATGAAAATATAATAATAAACTAGTTATTTTAAACAGACTGGCTAAGATCGCCCGTAAAAAACCTATTATATGTCAGTTTAGTGTGAAGTAGTTGCCAATTTACTGTTTAAGGGTAAAGAATACTGTTTGCGGTGACATTTCAACCTGAGCATAAAACATAGTTAGCCGTGTATGATGTTGTGGTTTGTCCGCACTATACCTTATTATATTTTACTAGGCCAATATCCACTTGTTGGATGGATTGTTAAACATGTTAATGTATATCAACACTTAATGATGTGCCACTAAATTATTACATACACATGTAACCTTTACGTGAGAAGAATAGTTTTGTCTGGTTCGCTAATCCTATAGTGTTGTTAAATTTAATGATAAGTACTATATTTATTTCGTTGTTTGTTGCAGAGGTGACACAATTGGAAGACCCGAGGCTAGAATGGCTCAGTATACAAGAAGCTATGCTGAGGGACTACCTCCACACAGCACAGGAGGCTTTGGAGGTAAACAAACTTTATTACCGCACTTAAAATCTTAGACGAACCAAATGGGTGTTTCAAAATCAACACAGTGCCCCAATCTAAAACGTATGCACGATAAGGATTCAGATAGAGCTGCGAAGAATGTTATCTACCCAACTTTCTTCTGATTTATATTACATAAAATGAAAATCAATAAATTATCAGCAACGAATTGCATACGTTTTAATATCGCTGTTTTGACAATGCCAAATTTATTTGATATTCGAAATAAATAGCGTAAAAACAAAAAATTGGCTGATCAGAACTTTTACAATAAATAATAATTGACTCGCAAAGGCATCCACATCAACCATTAAATATAAATTTTAAAATCCAATTGAATTAGAAAGATTTGATTGAAGCTGATACAGAAGTAAAACCGATTCGCAATCTATATGAAACGGTAGAAATTCGGAAGGAACGTTTCAATCAATCTAGATAAACCAGTCCAATCTTCTTTAAATGAATTTTATCATTCATTTTAACTCACCATCTCAAGAGTTGTGGCAATCGGGTCGATCTTTTATCGTTTAATCGCCGAATTATAAAGGCATCTCGAAACCATTGTTATGGGAGTAAAACCATCAGCAGGGCTTCGTGCAGCTGCATTTTCACTTTAGATACTCTTTTAATAAAATGAAGTCGACTTAAGTTAGTAGTTTGATGGTATCGGATACTGATGGATTCATTTTGTTCTAACTCCATTTGAATAGTCATTATCAAGATCATGCCGGGGTTCATTGTTATCATTGGCTACATAAGGCACTACTAGCCTGTTGCTTTGTTCATTATTCAGTAGGAGTAATATGAAACGGCATCGAAGAAATCTGCCCCAGCATGCACAAACAAAATAAATATAAAAAGTTCTGTAACTACTACACAATTTACTGTCATTATATTTCTCGAGCCTTCAGAGACTGTCTCATCTAAATCAAAAGCCTCCGAGAATGACATTTAAAAACTGATTTCAAATAAAAGTTTTTTTTTAATTCAATTCTATTCCAACCATTTTGTATAGATAACTTTAAGTACTGCAATATACGCGACCATCGGTATTTATCAAAATAATAATAGAACTAGGTACCTACCCTCCATACACAATAATAATAATACTTATCACTAGTATTTATATTATACTAGCTGTCCCAGCGAACTTCGTACCGCACTAAAAATAGGGGTTGGTGGTAGAAGGGTGAAAATTTAGGGTATAAAACCCTTTATGATGTATCATAAAAAATAAAAACAAAAAAAAATGTCCAAAAAACATTAAAAATACTAAGGGACCACCCTTAATAACATTTAGGGGGATGAAAAATAGATGTTGTCCGATTCTCAGACCTACTGAATATACATATTAAATTTCACGAAAATCAGTCGAGCCGTTTCGGAGTAATTCAATTACATTTTATATATTAGATTTGTAGGTAGATAATTTCTGAAATTATGTAATACAGCTATACTCTAAGTGTGTTCCGCGGAACCCTAGGGTTCCGTGATACCTCTGTCGGGGTTCCGCAAGAATTTAGAAATAAAAAAATCAAAACACCTCTCTCTGGTCGCTCCGCGGCTGTGCGGACTCCGCGGCCGCGCGGAGACAAAACGCTATGAATGTTATTTATTTATTTATTTGTATTTGTATAAGCTTGTGTTACATTAGCTGGTACAATATCTCATAAGTTTGGTCTCAACAATTTTATACTTGTACAACGCGTTCGCTCTAAGTTTGCCGGTCTGTGGAATGCGCGTACCCTCCCCCACGTGACAACAAAACTTATAATGTGTCATAGTTTTACCCAAATATCTAACGTACACAATTTTTATTGTTACAATTAAATAAAAAATTTCGAACGTCATACACTCATACCTATCGCCAGCGGCAAACTTAAAACGAGCGGGTAGTATACTTGTAAGCGCTCAGTCTCTTTGATAAAAGCCGCCTCTGAATTAGACGCTATAGTTGTCAACTAGCGACTTTCGTCTCTAACTTCAAAGGATAAAGTCGATATTGTTTACAACGCTATTTTTAAATTTCTGTTTTTATTTTTGCTTTTTGTTTATCAAAGGTGCCGACTCGAGTATTTTCGAGAATATTTGAGATCGAGTCTAGGACTAAGTATAAAAGCGGCGATCGCGCGTTGGCGTCGTCAGTTGATGATTAGCGTTCGGAGCGATAAGTTACTACCTACTTACAAGCTCGCTAGCGAGAAACTGGTGTTCATTGTTTTACTGCCTGCTGTATTCTGTTGTCTCAGTTTTATACATTTCTTCCCTGTAGGTTCTAAATTTAGTCTCTTATACGCAGTAACGATTGTGCATTATTTAAACCCCACTATCCTGACTTGTAACATTATAAATAAAGAAGAATGGAACGTTGGCTTAAAGGTGTTAAACGTGTTCCAACAACATCTTCTAATGACGCTGAATGTTCAAAAGCAATGCGCGCGGAGAATTTAGCAATCACCGATCCAGAAGATGATGCCACGAGTGCCACGACGTCAAGCTCGACGGTTTCAAAGACGAAAAAAAGGAAGTATGATGAATCTTATATCAGTTTCGGATTTGTTGATTCCAACGGCTCACCTCTCTGCATGCTCTGTAGTAAACTGCTTCCTAATAGTTCCATGGCACCTGCCAAATTGCGTCGACATTTAGAAACCGTACACCCCGAGACTAAAGACAAGAATAAAGAATTTTTTGTTCGCAAAAAAGATCAGTTATTAGAAAGTCAAAAAAATATGATGCATGTAACACAAACTACCAACGAAAAGGCCACGGAGGCATCATACTTAGTTAGCTATCGCATTGCACAAGCAGGTGAAGCGCACACTATCGCTGAGAAATTAATAAAACCATGTGTATTAGACATAACAAAATGTATGCTTGATGAAAAATCTGCAAAGCATCTTTCTACTGTTCCGCTATCAAACGATACTGTTTCACGACGAATCCATGATCTGGCAAGCTACGTCAAACAAGAACTAGTTACACGTCTACAAAATACACGATTCGCTTTGCAAATGGACGAGTCGACTGATGTCGCTGGTTTGGCTATCCTGCTGGTTATTGTGAGATATCCATATAAAAGTTCTTTTGAAGAAGACATGCTTATGTGTTCATCGCTGCTTACAAACACTACCGGGGAAGAAATTTTTAATAAAATAAATATATTTTTTGAAGAACATAATCTCAGTTGGAACAATTGCATTGACATTTGTACAGATGGGGCCAAGGCGATGACAGGTAAAACAGCAGGAGCAGTGTCACGAATGAAAAATAAAGCGCCTAATTGTAGTTCCAGTCATTGTATTCTGCATAGACAAGCACTTGCGATGAAGCAAATGCCGTCTAATCTAAAATTAGTTATGGATGAAGCGGTAAAAATAATTAATTTTATCAAATCACGACCACTACAATCCCGATTGTTCTCATTATTGTGTGAAGATTATGGCAGCAAACATAAAACACTGCTGCTCCATACAGAAGTGCGATGGCTGTCTCGGGGAAAAACTTTAACAAGGCTATTTGAACTTAGAGCCGAGTTACAAATGTTTCTTTCAGCAGATACTTCTTTTAATTTGAAGGACCGTTTGTATGATAAAACTTGGTTGTTCCGATTGTCTTTTATGGCGGATATCTTTCAAAAACTTAACGAATTAAATTTATCATTGCAAGGTAAACAGACAACAGTGTTTCAGGCCTATAATAAAATAACTACTTTTAAAAGAAAATTAGATTTTTGGATCATTTGCATTGGTAAGAAAGAAATAGAAAGTTTTACGTTACTCACTGAGTTTGTTAGCGAAAACGACTCAGAAATGTTTGAAGATAATGTGTTTGAAGAATTGGTCCAATATCTCAGTTCGATGCGCGCATCTTTTGAAAAGTATTTTCCCGAAGAACACAATACAAAAATTAAAGTGAACTCCTGGATTCATAATCCTTTTTTACCCAACTTGGAAAAGCCTGAAAACATGTCAAATGAGATATATGAATCTCTTTTAGAAATGTCATCAGACACAAGTATGGAGTCATTGTTCAAAACGACGCCTCTTAATGATTTTTGGTGCAGAATCCAAGATGAATATGCAATGCTTGGCCAAATGGCTCTGGATATTCTTCTCCCGTTCCCAACTACATATTTGTGCGAAACAGGATTCTCTACCTACGCAGCCACGAAAACAAAATATCGCAATAGACTGGACGCCGAAGCTGATATGAGACTCCAACTTTCTTCCATCAAACCTGATATCAAGCAATTGATGAAAAATAAAAAACAGTTTCATACCTCCCACTAGTTAGATTTTTTCTTTTTTAATGTTTTCTATTATTGTCCTTACCAAGTGGTGAAGTAAATAATAATTAGTAACGGATACATTGTACTTTTATTATGCTGATTAATATAGAATACACTTATAAAAATAATTGTTTTATTGTAGGGTTCCATCAAGTATTTTGCTTCCCAAAAGGGTTCCGTCATTTAAAAAGTTTGAGAACCACTGATGTAATAATAGTTTATACTCCCATCCCCATATAATACCTATCTGTTTATTTTTATGAAAGTCATAATGATAACCAGGTACAAACCTAATTACCAATAATAAAATATAGAAACAGTAAATGGAAAGCCTTTGAACATTTCATTTTAAAATAGATCTATTATTAAACAGGTAGGTAGGTAGCATGTTTTGTCAAGTTGCAGTTAAATTTAATTACATCAAAATCATCTCTAGAATCTATTTGAATAACATGATGTGGGCTTTTAAGAGATGGAACATTAATAACATTGTTCTCACAAAGAATTGTAGTATTTGGCGATTGAAAATGATTTGGAACATTATGTTGCCTAAACAAATGTTTTATGTAAGAATCCCATTTATCAAATTTTCTAGCACAGTTTGCATTGACATCGCAACAGTATATATTACAGACTGGATGTTTAATAGAAGCATGAACACGTAAAGCATCCATACTCACAAAAGAAT